TTTCCCTTATTCCTCATACAATGAGGGCTACAGGAGTCGGAGTAAGAAGACCTCCAGCTTGACAGTATTTTGACACTATTTCAAAATAATGACCTGCTGTGTAGACATGGACTAAGTTATTTCAGAATAGTGCTAATGTAGACATACCCGAAGCCCCTCTAATATACAGTACCATATCAGAAATCAAAAGAACTCTCCACTCTAAATCCAGAAAGGGCTTCTGACATTGGATCTTGTTATTTATCAAGTCATTAATGCTTTTGTGTTCAGCTTAAGGTTTGTCTGGATTCCTAGCTCATGCTGAGTAATGCTCAGGATTTGATTTACTTCACATCCAAGATGTTCAAGCTTCCATGTAACTTCTTCCCTTCAATCCCTTGCAAGATATTTAAAAATTTTCCACCAAAGAGTCATAGAATGTATTATGCTCAATATCTAGTATGGCTTGCTTGATTCTCCTTCCCTCTTCCCCCCCACTATAATAGTTTCAATTGATAAATACAAATTAGAAAAAGAAGCTACCCATGTTGATCAGATCCTCCCTCAGTTTTGAACCTGACAATGAAAACTTCCACCAGTCTGTGTACTTTGCCGTAACTCAAACCATGTTTCAATCCGGCTAATGAGACTTGAGCACAGTTGCCCTGATCTGCACACAGCGGGTCTGCTGCCTCTTAGAACCATGTGACAGAGAGGTAGGCTACAGAATGGTTTGGATTGGCAAATTCTCAGGAAGACATTGCTGATCGGGCCAATGCTAGAACCCTGCCTGCAACAACTCCAGCTGTGCAGAGGGCTTATTATCTGCCCCTGGACAATGCTATTCTGTGGCCCAACATCTATTAGCTCCATGGGGACTTAGGCATGTGCTGAAGTGCTTTGATGAACAGGTACCTGCATCAGGAACAGTCTCCTCCCCAAGATTAAGTCATGACATATGTAGCAATTCTGGGTTAAAAGGAGAAACCAGCATGATGACCAAAAACACTCAAGATCTGTTACGTGGAGACCACTACAGACTGACTTTCTCTGGATGCCGAGTACATCATAGCCTTCTAATTCCCTGTATAATATGAGACTATCCAAACTAGCTTACAAAGTGATATTTAAAAAAAAAAAATCTTTCTACAACTCCTCTTCCTAGATTTTCCCTTTTCAATTTTGCATAGGCACCAGACATACACATGAAGTCCTAAGTGGTGAGGAAGTATTCTCACCTAAAACAGAAGGGAAACTTTTCCTGATTTCCCCAGGGACAAAGGGAGAAATGAGACTCTTTTCTCCCCTTTTTTTTTCTCTATCGTGCAGACAAATTTCAGATAGAGCCACTAGTTCAGTCAAATACTGTGAATAAATGTTGAGATTACAAAGAGAAAGCAGCTAAGAGTATGAATACAGGCTTCTCACCAGAGAATGGCAGTGCATTTACAAGGCACCACTGGGCACATTAGTCAGTGGCAGAGAAGTTCAAGAGCCCTAATTCCAGGATGCTTAGTAATTAAGCAGCGCAAAAAGATTATGTGATGGAGAAACAGCAATATTAAAATAGGCTTGGTGCCACATGTTAAAATATCGTAATAAATCAGTGTATTAAATGATTTTTTTCAGTTTTAAGTTACTTACCAATTCCAATACTGGCACCGATACCTAGGTCGATGAATAAACCGAGTCCTAAAGAGTCTAAAGAGAAAAACAAAGTGTGAGCTAAAATCTGAAATCAAACTTGTGTCAATAACCTTCAAGAACTCATTCACAATCCATACATAAGAAGCTATACTTACCTAGATTACAGGCAGTCCCCGGGTTACGTACAAGATAGGGACTGTAGGTTTGTTCTTAAGTTGAATCTGTATGTAAGTCGGAACTGGCGTCCAGATGCAGCCACTGCTGAAATTGACCGCCAGTTCCGACTTACATACAGAATCAACTTAAGACCCCCAAGCGTCCCCAAGTCAGCTGCTGCTGAAACTGATCAGCAGCTGATTCCAGGAAGCCCAGGGCAGAGCAACTCTGCCTCGGGCTTCCTGTAGTCAGCGCTGGTCAGTTTCAGCAGCAGCTGACTTGGGGACGCCTGGGGCAGAGCAGCTGGGGTGCTGCCGGGTTAGTCCAGTAGCGCCCAGAGCGGCGCTGCGGGACCAACCGGCAGCGCCCCAGCTGCTCTGCCACAGGCGTCTGGAGAAAAGCCTAGTCTGCTGGGGGGCGGGGGGCGTACTAGCTGCGCCCCCCCACCCCACCCCAGCACACCAGGAAGACGCCAGCAGCGGACCGAGACGCACCGTGGTCCTGCTGCCTGGGTCCTCCGCAGACCAGGGAGATGCGGAGAAAGCCCCGGAGTACACGGGCGGCAGGACCGCGAGGTCCCGCAGTCCGTGTCCTCCGGGGCGAGCCCCGTTCGTAACTGCGGATCCGACATAAGTTGGATCCGCGTAAGTCGGGGACTGCCTGTATAACAGATATTAATGAACAATTAAGGTAGCTTTATAAACATCACATTCTAAAATGGGGAATCCTTTGCTTTTAGAAACTATGATCTTACCCCTCATCACCAAGAAAAGCAGCTTTGCAAAGATTGTATAGGTTTGTATCTTGTAATACTGTCAGGAAAATATTGCATAAATGGAGGACCCAATATGGGTTTGAAGGTTTTCTTTAACAGTGTTTCTCAGCCAGTGGTACGAGTACCCTTAGAAGTACTCAAGAGAAGTCAGAGGGGTACTTCAACACAACTGAAATTTGGAAAAAACTGAATTTTTGTTTTAAGTTTTACAGTGCTTTATTATTTTTGTACTTTTTACATCCAAAAATTTCTTCGCCCACCCAGCTACAACTAAGTTGTTGCAACACATTTGTTTCAACAGTACAAAAAATGTGTGTCTGAAAACTGTAAGTACTGGGGGTACTTGTAAATTGTTTTTTAAAAAGGGGGGTACTTTATAAAAAAAAGGTTGAGAAACACTGTTCTATAATACGAACCACTAAACATTAAAGGCTCTTTTGCAGGTGTTGCTAAGCTTTCATTTACCAAGAGTGCAAAGGCCAACTGTCTGTCTGCCAAAATGCTAAGGAAGACCAGAATCATCATACCCATGTGGCTAGATCAGGTACAGTAACTCCTCACGTAACATTTTAGTTACATTCCTGGAAAATGCTACTTTAAGCAAAATGATGTTAAGATAATGCAATTTATGTAGAATTAATGTAAATGGAGGTGGGGGGGGAGTTAGATTCCAGGGATTTTTTTTTTCAGCAGACAAAAGGCAGTATATATCTATACAGTATGGCTGTGTCTAGACTGGCCAGTTTTTCTGGAAAATCAGCCGCTTTTCCGGAAAAACTTGCCAGCTGTCTACACTGGCCACTTGAATTTCTGCAAAAGCACTGACTTCCTACTGTAATATCAGTGCTTCTTGCGGAAATACTATGCTGCTCCCGTTCAGGCAAAAGTCCCTTTTGCGCAAAGCTTTTGCGCAAAAGGGCCAGTGTAGACAGCTCAGATTTGTTTTGCCCATCTAGATTGGCACGGACGCTTTTCCGCAAAAAGTGCTTTTGCGGAAAAGCGTCTGTGCCAATCTAGACGCTCTGTTCCGAAAATGCTTTTAACGGAAAACTTTTCCGTTAAAAGCATTTCCGGAAAATCATGCCAAGCTAGACGCAGCCTATACGTTTTAAACAATTTAATACGGTACACAGCAATGATGATTGTGAAGCTTGGTTAAAGTGATGGAGTGAGAGTGGGGAATATTTCCTAGGGAACGTCTTCCTACTAAATGATAAACTAGCATTCAGCTGAGCCCTTAAGGTTTAATATGTTATTGATGTAGCCTCGCACTGTAGAGACACGATGTAGTGAGGGAGGAAACCCAACGGACATGCAGCAGTGGCTGCAAACACTCCCCTGCAGAAATGGGATATGAAGTTGGGGACTACTTGACATCAGCATCCCTCCGTTCTTCTCCGCACAGCAAGCAAAAGGCTCCCAGGAACAGCTCCAAGGCAGGAGCAGCATGGCAGTGTAGGGCGGGGTAGCTAAATGGCAGCAGCCCAGCTGTATACTTTACAGGGAACTTAGGAGAGCTTATTGATGGGGATGGGACTGCCTGTCCGCCCTGGTTCCAAACCCAAATCCAAATTTGCCAATAGCTAGTGACAGAAAATGGTTTTGTTTAGGGTTAAACCATGCATTCATTGGGATAAACTGACTGACTTCTTTAGACTGTTCTTTCCTTTCTTATTAGTGCATGTTGAGAGCTTTTGCAACTCTGTATCCATATATTTGGGGTTTGGAATGCATCACCTCCTTCCTTGTCAGCTGCTAAACTCTATTTGACATGCCCATCTGAGAAAACATACAAATGCTCACAAACCAAGAAAGGAGGTCCACGATTAGGGGGAAAAGATGCAATCTGGGCCAAGGTGAATGTGCAAATGAACAAACAACCTCTCTCTCAAGATTTTAGGCAAGCACTAATTGAACATCATTGTATTTGCATCTATGCATGGCAAAATTATATAAATTAACACTTTGATTTGCTACAAGTCTAGAATTTTGGGTTCAGATGAAAAATGACATTCAAAGTGCTTCCATTTTACCTGAGAAAGTATCACCTACTCCTGTTCCACCGGGAGGGATACTTGTGGGTTTGTTCTGGGTAATTATGGCTAAGATAAAAAGGAGAGGAAAAGCAGTTATGAACTTTACATCAGACTCCCATCACCAGCTGGCCAATCAGAGTCAGGAGCTTGCCAAACTAATATTTAGCAATCTGCATCTTTATAGAAAAGTCACACTAGCGAGAGCCCATGAGAAGATGAATTCAACTCATTTCATTCTAGTGATTGATGTTGTTAACTTCTGGAGAGTGCAGGATTATGCCAAGTTATCACTGAGCAAGGCATCCTCCCTGAATCAAAGTTACACAAGATAAGAAGAGAACCCATTTTTCTAATCTGAAATCTAAATGCTGAGCTATGCCTGTAAAATAAGGCAACTCATTTTGTATATAACTCATTGTTTCAGTGTGCATCCTCCTCCATTGCTTGGTCCTCAGATAACAGTTTAGTACTGCTGCCACCTATTGTAATTAGTTCTTTAGCTTATGTGATGTGCTGTAGGTTCAAGAGTCAAACCTAAATGCATATGGAGTCAGAGGATGTTGTATTACCCGCACATTTGATTTTTTTTCCTCTGCTTTTTAAAAAGCTCCGAAGTACATAAAACCTACATCAGTAAAAAGTTATTCAAGACACCAAGTAAGCCCTGAGAAGTTAGAAAATGATATTAACATTACCTCAGACATTCTTTAAGGGTTAAGTTTCTAACACTAACGAGGTTTCCAACAAGCAAAATATTTACATCTGTGGTGTCCAACCAGTACTGAGGCAATAGCCATTATAGCGGCTCAACTGGCCAAATACCTACATGTTGGGACACCACAGATTTACAAGATTAATGCCTGACTGAATTTCCTCGTGTTCATGGGTTTGCCTAGCCATCAAAACATGGTTTTATCTGCTTAGAGACTGTAGAGCAAGAGGAAAATAAAAACAGATCACTCACCTTTGCATTCAGGGGCAGACCCATTCCAGACTCCATTGGTTTTATCTTTAGTTGTACAGTGAATGGAGGCATTTCCAGTAAGTGAGAAATTATGGTCACATCTGTATGTTACCAAAGAGTTATAGCCAAAGCTTCCCATGCCACTTCCATTGCTCATCCCATTGGCAATATTAGGAGGAGTAGAACAAGTAATCACTGAAGGAAAGAGGAATGGCATTATGAATATTAATTAACATTTCAGTTAAAGGTGAATTGAAAATATCCAGTCAAGATTTGTCTACGATTGCTCCTAAAAGGCTATTTAGCCAATGAAAATGCAATTAACTCTTCCCTCAGATTCAGACTGCTTTATGCTTTCAAGCTTTTCTCCAACCTAACTCCCTTCTTCTGGCAGATTTTGACCCAATGAAACAAATCTCTGGAGACAGCCTTATCAGAACATACATGCCCCTCTAACAACAAATATAAGGAGAAGAAGCTCTTTGGCTAATGTCACTGAAGGACTATGTTCTGCTCCTTCAAGCTGCAGAAGCAGAAAGTTTAAATTAGGACATTTCTCTTAGCAGCAACTAGTTCTAGAGCCAGGTGGCAATAGCCCAATTGATAGATGCACCTCAGGTAGTGTGCAGAAGGACAAAAACAATTAAAGCAAATAAATTGGGAAACCCACATTAATATTGGGTTTTACTCCAAAATAGCCTCAGATTTTGAGTTTGGAGTCCAGGTTTTTGGGGCAGGAAAAGAGGATAACTGAACAAAGAGGACTTACACTAAAAAAACCTCAAACAAAAGCAAGATGAAGGACTTCAAAGGGGAAAAAGATTACTTAATGAAGAATGAGAAACTAACTAAACCCCACTGTTTCAGTATTGCACATACAGTAACAATTAGGACAGCTAAATCCTTAATAGGAGAAGGTGCCAGGAGATTGATTTGAAAGGATGGAGGAGACCTAAGGAGTTTTGTTTGTTTGAAGTAATAATTCTATACCAGACATCAGCACCATGAAAGACGGTCATACATTTTCAGTCTCTTCACTCCTAACAATGTCCACAAGATTCTCTTATAATCCAAATTTAAATAAAACCAAATACAAATGAAAGTTGTATAAGGGGTATTTCTGCATTATCATCCATCGTCAGCTCTTCTTAAAACCATGGTGATTGTCTTACATTCACAAGTTGGAAGTTTAGTCCACTCAACTTGATCTTGAGTTCTACTAAGAAAACACTGGATGAAAGACCGCCCACTTATTTTGTGTCTAAAGAAGAAAGAAAGAAAGAAAGAGTTTTAGTTCTCAACGTGCTCCTTTAATAGTCCAGAAATATGGAAAATGGGTTCTTTCTAGCGTAAGGGAAGAACTTACTACTGAGTGAGGTTATTCCCACTGCAGGAGGATCAGCATGATCATTAAGACCAGGTACTGCTGAGTCGCAATCCTGAGTTGTTAAAGCCAAATTAGAATAAGCAAATCCTTGTGTATAAGTTAGCAGGAGAAATTAGTCACCTTAAAGACTATATTAAGTACTGAATATTGGCAATGAAGTCACTTGGTGTTCAGTACATTTTGCCTTTTACTATTGTAAGGTTGTGGCCTTCAGCACTAGCGTTTCAACAAGGTGGTTCAGAGGACCAGAGGAGGGTTTACCTCCTAAAGCTGGTTTCTTCTGGTCCTTTCACCAGTCTGGAAGGAAGGCAGAGATCATGAGGCATGGACTCACCACCGTGGCACCTCCTGTTGGTCACTCTGGGCATTGGCTCAAGTCCAACAATCTGCCTTCTCCCCTCATGGTGCTGAACCCCTTGTCACTCTTGTTGGCCAACATCCGGACCCATGTCCTTCCCTGGTTTGCTGTGCATTGCCCTCCAGCTATGCCCCAACTCCTTCTCCCCCACTTCCGGGGGTTCAGGAGTCCTTCGTCCTTTGTCACCTCAGTGGCTAACTGCAGACA